TTGTTCAGATAGACAGGGCTCATTTGGGGGGGGGGGGGGGCTCTGAAAGTTTCAGCTGATACCTGAAACTTACAGGAAGAACTTTTGTGGTGTGCAGAAGAAGGCGGCGATGTATGTGGATGTTGCAACCCAAAGGGGGTGTATCCACAGACGGGCAAAGAGGAGGGAGTTGCTACTTCATATATGACTTCATGGAGTTACTCATTGTATGAGTTTAGGGCATAACTGGGCAGAGTGCCAAACCCTTGAGCCCATAAACCATTAACCTGCTGGAGGGAACGGTGGCTGCCCAAGTCTTTGGTGCTTACAGCATCAACAAGGCTCCAGAGAGAGAGAGAGAATCTTCCAGCTCGCTCGCCTGGGGGGTGTGATGATCAGGTTGCTGAGTTCACCCTCCAGGCTCCTGCATAGCAAACTGTCACACTGTGCTCGGGCCAAAACCGGTACATGTGTATTGGGCACAAGCAGCTGACATGTGCCCTGGAGGTGGGTGAGCGGAGGGTCCAGCAGTTCTGGGACACTAGTGCTGATGCTCCGATATAGTAGACTTGGCTAAGTGGGTACTGAGCAAGTATCTAACCCTAAAGAGGGTGCGCAGGCCCTCCAGTGGAGGGTGAAGTTGGGTACCTGGAAGGGACAGAGAGAGGTTGGGGTTGATGATCAGTTGCTTTGTGGAGGTATTGATGGCAAATGATTTTGAGGATTGGTCTGGCAGCCTTCAGAGGTGCTAGAGTCAGAGAACCCTCTTTGGACAGCAAGCTGCCGTCTCTGCCTTGGGAGACCATCCTTGTTGGGGCAGAGGTGCTATTTAGACATGGGGAAATTGAGGCACAGCTGATAACTGCTGTTTCTCAAATTCAAGTCGGTGAATTTTGCATTTCCCCTTGAGGCAGCAGAGTTTCCAACAGAACTTTGCAGTGATCACAGCCTTATCGCCCTGTGGAGATGCTCCAAGCTGTAGCTACTGGTAGTGCTGAAGACCCTACAGGGAGGGATTCCTGTGGGAAAAGATATCCCATTCCCTGTAAAGGGATGTCTCCTGGAAGCTGAATCTTGGGGGATGAGAAAGCAGATAGTGCTTTCCCAGAGGCATTGCTACAAGTTGTTGTGCTTGGCTGGTGATATCAATTTTCTTAGGACATGGGGAAATACAAGACAGGTCGTAAGGGTCAGTGGGAGCTTCTCCTGACCTCAGGTGTCTGAGATGGGTCACAGATCCTGGAATCTCTGCAGTTCCTGCTAAATTTCAGCAAGGTGTAAAGCGGGTCCAAGAACGTTGCCTGCAATAGCAGATCCTTCCCAGGAGTGGTTATGGATATGGCGGGACCCTTTAGCAAGGCAACTAACTAGAGAAGGAACTGAAAATGAATTGGTACTGGTAGATTTACTACTGTGTCTTCCCCTAAGGAAGATGTGGTAGTAGGTGCTGCAGAATGGGTTTTCCTCGGTGAAGTCCTCATGGACCGAGGTGCCTTAAGTTATGCCTGATCTCTCTGGTGTTTTGTGCACAAGATGCAAATGTTCTTGGACCTGCATAGATTGCCCTTAAGCCAGTGGTGAAGGGGCTTAGGGAAGTGAAGCTGAAGAGCTCAGCATACCAGCCTCCTCAAGGGGGGCTGGTGCTTACCTTTCCTGCTGTGTTGTTTATAGGGAAAATCCCTAAGGATTATACCGTTCTCTTTTTTTGCTGTGGGTGATAGGGGAATGAAGTGAGCCCTGGTCTTAATGAGGCCAAATGGAGAGTTGATGACGTGGTCTCATTTTAGAGAGAGCCTCACACAACCTCATAGGTTTTGCCTGGGAGAATCTGTTGAAGGCTCAAGGGAGACCAAAGGCCTGGTCTAACTACGTTGCGTATTACATGTGTTGGGCCACGTGGTGTATGGGAACTAGGTTCTAGTGCTCAGTGTGGCAGAATAAGCTGCAACGTGCCTGCAATGGGCACTTTGTCATCAGACAGCTCACAAAGCCATTGGTGAGCCATCAGACTGTTCCTGTTGTCACAGATGCATCATGTAAGTATGGTGAAGCAGTGGTATGACAGGCAGATATTGATCCCAGCAGGTTGGACAGTGGGAAGAGGGAAAGAAAGATTCCCTGGTAAATCAAATGGTAGAAATGATTCAATGAAATGAAGCCACGGTGTGCTGCAATCGATATCTCTCTCTGCTACCTTGATTTCTGCAGAGATCAGAGAGGTGCTGCTGGTTTGCGAACAGGTGTTTTCCAGCAACCTGATGTGTAACAGTTGTGTTCCCAGGGGCAAGGGGTAATGGGAAGAAGACATGGACCCACACCCATTCAATTTAGGATCACTGGGAAAATTTCCTGGAAAAAGGAACTGGGGATTTGCTAGAGTTGAGGGCTCTTCAGGAGTCGGAGTCCTTGAGCCTGTACCATTGGTACCTAGAGAGGCTGGGCTGCTTGGGTTTGGCCTGGGTTATGGAAAGCCTAATGCAATTATAGTGTCTGACACTCACCTGTGCATTGAGCTGATGGGATTATAGACAAAGGGTGACATGCTGTCTTCCTGTCCTTGACCTTGCTAAGGCTACTGGAGGATGCCCTTGGACTCAGAAGCCAGCCTTAAATCCATCTTCCTCAATTCAGTGGGGATGCTTTTGTTTCTGGTTTGACCTTTGTTAGTCCAAAGGAGGCCTAATCACCTCTCGGTGTCTAGTAGATAAGCTACTAAGAGTGCCCTTGCCCACATTGAGGTATTTTTAGTTAGATGTGGGAGGCACTTAAGTCCCAGGATAGGAGAGGCCACTGGACCCGGGATCAAGAGGTGGAATTGACTGTAAAGGTA